TTTAAAAAAAAAAAAAGAGAGAGAAACAAGTACTAAAGCCAAACCAAAGCAACAGGAAAACAGAGTTGAGACCCAAGTCTTCTAATAAGCTTGACTGGAGAGAGACTTGCAAAAAAGTAAAAACAGTGTCATTGTTCACACTGTTGATTTGGAAAATACCCCCCCCCAATCTTTCCCCCATCTCCTCTGTCCTCCCTTCTTCTCCCCTCCCTTCCTTTCCTCTCCTCCCTTCTCACCCCACCCACCTTCCTGCACTGGGGATTGAACCCAGGACCATAACCCTGAGTTCCATCCACTGCCCGTTTTATATCTTAATTTTTAGACAGGGTTTTGCTAAGCTGCTGAGTGTCCAGTCCTACTGCTCAGCCTCAAGTGCTGGGGTCACCCTGGCTCTTGCAGATAGCTGTCTTGTTTCTGTCCAGTGCTCTGCACACAGCTGGCTGCAGCATGTGGTGCCTGGCATGAGGCGACAACCTGGTTGCTCTAGGGTGGGTCCCTGCCTGTCCATGCGAGGTCTATGAGACAGCAGTGGGTGGCGCTCACGGTGGGGGCAGGGCGCTGTTGTAGCCCTCCCCTGGCCTGCTATGGCCTGAGGTGCTCTGGGCATGTTGGCCACCCGTCCAGGTGCCGGAGAGCCTCTGACCTCTGTGGATACCCTGGGAGGTGACTCCCTGGGAACAGCTCAGAGAGTCAGCCTGGAAGCTGGGCGTGGTGGGTGTCCTTGCAGTCCTAGCCCTCAGGAGGTGGAGGCAGGAGGACCTCAAGTAAGAAAACAGACCAGCATGCAGCTCATTCTGCGAGGAAGCGGGGTAGAGAAACTGGACTCCAGAGCGCCGGAGTCTGGCGTCTCTCAATGAACGGAGACAGAAGAGGTGCGGCTGCAGCGTCGCGCTGTCTCTGGATCCTGGTTGGGATAGCTTGGCTCTGAGCGGATTCCTGGACGGCTGGGAATTGTGGGTGACGTGCTGGACGTGGGGCAGTGGCGTGGCTCCCGGGGGAGGGCCATAAAACAACGATAGATGCATTTGCGAAATAACCCAAGAGTGTATAGAGCGGTACGGGCAAACGTGGCCAGTTTTAATAATGGTCTGCTGGAGGTGGTTTTAAGAATGTTCCCTTCGGGCCAGAGAGCTAGCTCGGTGGCATAAGCACCTGCCTGGCAAGTACAAGTTTCTGAGTTCAAGCCGTGGTACAAAAAAAAAGTTCTCTTCACCCTTCTTTCAACTTTTTGTAATTCACTTAAACTCGGCCTACATATAGCACTCCACCCCTTCATTCCATTCAGTCCAGTGTGACTGAGACCCAAGGTTACAGTGGCTTAGCCAAGATGGAGGTTTATTTCCTAGTGGTGACAGTTCAAAGAGAGCTGGCCAGGCATGGTGACAATTCTGCTAGGTCCTATCCCCAAGACAGGGACATCCTGTCTCCCTGATAGGTAATGTCTCTTCCTTCATGGCCCAAGATGGCTGCTCCAGCTGTAGCCGCTGGGTCCACAGTCCAGGAGGTAAATAGGAGGAGGTAGAGGGCCCATTCCCACTGCTTGTATAGAATTCCTCAAAGCTACTGCAAAATACTTCTGGTTACCTCTCCTTGGTCCCAAGTGAGTTATGTAACTGCAAGGGAGTCTGGGAAATTCCCATCACCTAGATATACAGCTTCAAGGGAGCCTGGGAAATTCCTTTCACCTAGGTGGCTGCGCCTGAGGCCTACATTGAATGTTCCAGTTAAGGAAATTACAGGAGGGCCGGCCAAATAACTCAGCGGATTAAAGCATTTGCAAGCAGGCACAGGGATCAGGGGTTCGATCCCCAAGGCTGCCATGCCCACCCTACCCCTGGGGTGCGCTGAGGTGACAATTGAGACCAGGCGTGGTGGCATGCTCCTGTAATCTCAGCACTTGGGAGGCTGTAAACAGGAGAATCACTACGAGTCCAATCTAGTAGTAAGACCCTGAACACCTTGTAGACCATTCCCTAAAATACAGGGGGAAAAAAAGAAAAGAAAAGAAAGGAGTTTGCAGGCTTAACCTGTGGTGGATGATGGAAGGGTGCAGTTGACAGTCCCAGCACAGCAGCGCGCCTTGCGGGGTTCCCAGGATGTTGCTCGCGGTGACCTACAGCCTGTTGTCTCCTCTGGCCCGCAGTGTCCAACCTGTTGCAGTACCTGAGCCCCGCTGCGATGTCCAACAGCCCCGCCCGGGCGCTGCTGCTGGTCGGTGTTGTCCTCCTGGCCTACTGGTTCCTGTCCCTGACCCTGGGCTTCACCTTCAGCGCCCTGCATCTGATGTTCGGCCGCTTCTTCTGGATCGTGCGTGTTATGCTGTTCTCCATGTCATGCATGTACATCCTGCACAAGTACGAGGGTGAGCCCGAGAACGCCGTGCTGCCCCTGTGCCTGGTGGTCGCTGTCTACTTCATGACGGGGCCCATGGGCTTCTACTGGCGCAGCGGCAGCCCTGGCGCGCCCAGCGGCCCCAATGTGGAGGAGAAGCTCGAGCACCTGGAGAACCAGGTGCGGCTGCTCAACATCCGCCTCAATAGGGTGCTGGAGAGCTTGGACCGCCCCAAGGACAAATGAAGGTCAGCCAGCCGGCTGGATCCACCCGCACCCACACGCGCGCCCAGAAAGCAGAAGAGAAAGAAGAAGCCGGCAATGCCAAATCCCAAGCGATCTTAATAAACTGCAGCCAGTGAGCCGGGCGCCTGGTGGGGGTGTTTCCAGCCGCGCGAGAATCGCAGCTCCCTAGGGACACCCCGACGGTGTGCACTGCCGCGCCGCGCCGCCAGGGGGCGGCGCTGGGCAGAATATTTTTTAAACAAAGAATAGAACTCTATGGGCTGTACAGCCTGAGAAATTTATCTGTGCATAGAACATAAAATTAATTTTTGAAACATTTAAATACATCTTTTGTAAGGTTTTTAAATAAAGGCAGATGGGGTCGAGTTTGTTAGAATTTTCCATTGGGGAGGGTAGGACTGGAAGCTATCAGAAAGGTGCAGGAGTGGGTGGTGGCGTCCCCAAGTGCGGCCTTTGTTGCCCACCTGGGCGCTGTTTTGTCATCTTGGCTTGGTGGAGACTTAGTTAATGAATGTTGTCACTTCTAAATGTGGGTGGTTGGTGCCAGGCAGGTGGCACAGGCCTGTGAGTCCAGCACTGGGGAGGCTGAGGCAGGAGGATGGCTGTGAGCTGTGAGTTCAGGGTAGTTTGAACAACATAGCAAGGCCCTGTCTCAAAAAATAAAACGAAATGCAACACTGGACAGCTGGGCCTGGGGGCGCAACCCAACCTCCTTTGCATCCCAGGGACCCTGCCTGAGCTTCGTCCATTGCCTTTCTCGGCACTCCAAGGTATTTTCTCCTCTGTAGTTTGGTGCAGGATTTGTGTTTGTTTTCAGTCATTGGCCTTTGTTTTGTTTTGCCATACTAGGGATTGAACCCAGGGACTTTGCTCTGAGCTCCATCTCCAGCCCTTGTGATTTTTATTTTGAGGCAGAGCCTTACTAAGTTGCCTAAGCTGGGTTTGAATCTGAGCTCCCTCTGCTCCGGCCTCCTGAGCGCCAGGCCTGGGCCACCACACCTGGCCTGCACTTTGGTGTATTTCAACCTCTAGATTTCCAAGCGGAATGTGCAGGGGTTCAATGTCAGGAGCTCCCAGAGTCAGCCTAGAGGTCCTTGAGGAATCAAGCTCGGTTTGATGTGTGCCAGCCAGGCCTCGGCAGGAAGGCTGGCTTGTTTCATTTTGTTTTGTTAGTTTTGAAGACAGGGTCTCACCAGTTTGAGGCCAGCCTCAAACTCAAAATGATCCTCCTGCTTCAACCTCCCGAGTGTTGGAATCATACGTGTGCACCAACATGCCTGGCTGTTGGTTTTTGTTGTTGTTGTTAGTTGGCTTTAGGACTATTAAAAAAAAAAAAAAAAAGCAAGTTGGGCATGGTGGGCACGCCTGTAATCCTGGCACTCAGAAGGCTGAGGCAGGAGGGTCATTGTGAGTTTGAGACCAGCCTGAGCTACACAGAGCCTGTTTCAAAAAGACCAAAAAAAGAAAAAAGAAAAGCAAAGGAGCAGCAGATCTCATTTTCAAGTCTGTTGCTGGGTGCCTGACCCTCAGGGGCAGTGCGCCATGGGGGAGCCCCACGTGGTTTTCCTGGGGTTTCCTCGGTGGTGGTGGTGGTGGGTCCTTATTGTCTGATGTTGGGGTGAGGCTGGTAGGACCTGTAATGGAACCAGCCTGGCTTCTGTAGGACAAGGAAGTGAGGGCCCCTCGGGCCAGTCCTGGGCCTCCGCCGCTCAGGACCCTCTGGGTCTCGCCTGTTAGGACCTGGCCGGGGGCTCCTCTGCGGCTGGCTGTGGGCTCAGCACCCTGGCTCCAGGAATGGGAAGCAGAGTTGTCAAGAGTGCTTCTGAGGCTTCCGATGTCAAGGTACCCAAGGGAGCCTCCAACAGATGATTTCTGGATTGGACCCACGGTCTTTGCTGTATGAATCTTTCGTTTGTTTGAGACAGGGCCTCGCTATGCAGTTCAGGCTGGCCTTGAACTCACTGTGGAGTCCGGGCTGGCGCCACCTTGTAGGAATCCTCCTGCCTCAGCCTCCCAAGTGCTGGGATTGAATATGGCAATGGGTATGTTTTTAAGCTCAGGGTACAAATGTCTTGGGAAGGTCACTGTCATCCTCTTTCTGTGGGCACTGGCTGTGCCACATGGAGGTATGGAGACTGCTCTGCATGTGCTGTTCACAGGGCCCAGCTGTGCCCCCTCGCCTGGTGGTCACTGTCAGGTGCCCGGGCACAGGGTTCCGGCTACTCCTGGCCTGGTAGAGCGCCCACTCTTTCCTCTCCCCTGCAGTCTGGGAGACCACAATAGCAATTGCAACTGCGGTTCTGCTGAGCATGGTCCGCACGCTGAGGCAGGAGGGTTGCCATTTGCTTAAAGCCAGCCTGGACTACACAAGGAGACCCCATCTCAAAACAAAGGAAAAAGAAAAAAATTGCCGTTGAGAATGTCCTGTTTTTCTAAATTTGACCAAGTGCAGACTCTGGAGCCAATTTTTACACGTTGATGTACTTGAGGAAGAGGTCTGCTTTGTTTGTGGTGCTGAGGTGACAGCCGGGGCCTGGCTCAGGCTAGGTAAGTGCGGTCGTGCTCCGCTCCAGCCCCAGCCTTTTATTAGATGACTTTGCAATAGAGTCTCACTAAATTGTGCAGCCTGGCCTTGAACTTGGGACCCTCCTGCCTCAGCCTCCCAGGCAGCTGCGATCACAGGTGTCCACCACACTCGAGCAAGACACCTTCAGTTTTACTGGAGCCCCTGTTCATCCTAAATACCACTTCAGGCTGGAACGTTGTTAGACAGAAATTCCAGATGCTGGGTGGGAATATTTTCTGGAATGGCTTTGAACGTGTACATTTTGCTTCGGGCATATTCGAGACCCCAAAAGCTAAGGGATTTCTCTCCTTGCATTCCACAGAAGCCTGTAAGTATCCGCCCCACCCCATCTCTTTGTTCTTTTGTACGTGAAAAATTGTATTTTTGTACCATTCCCGCCCCGAAGGGCATTCTCTTCTGTCTTCAGCGCTGTATGATACATTCACGTAAATCACGCACCCCCGATGGTGACTTCACTGCGCTTGGATGTCAGCCACTGGGGATCTGTTGTAATTAAGGACCAGTTTTTAAACTCTTACTCAGTGTTAACTTCCACGTTTCCATACCCGAGTCAGTGTTCGCTCCACCAACCACAGCAAGCAGCCTCGGAGTGGAACAGCCACCCCTAGCCGGCTGGGTGGATTGGTGTCCAGAGTGATGGCACCCCTGTCACCCAGAGGCCTTGGACCCCGGCCACTTTGGCTCAGCTTTGCGCACGGCCTTGACATTTCTAGGACTTGGGGATGATGGGCTGGTGATGGTGCTGTAGGAGTGGCAAACGCCACAGGTCCTGAGAGAGGCCTTTCAGAGGGAAGAGGTGACTGGGTGAGGGGCGGGGACATCCTTGCTGGGTGTCAGTGAGACCTGGCAGGGTGGCTCTGTGCCAGGGAGGTTGTGAATGGGACTTGTGAGCCCACAGAGATGGCATGAGGTCTTCAGGTCCTGCCCTTGTCCTGGCCTTGTGCCGGCCTTGCCCAGGGGTCCGGGGCATGTGTCAGGTTCACAGGGGTCTAAGGACACAGGTGACACTGTGCATGGGAGCCAGACGGGCTTCCTTGTGCCAGTGCTGTTGCCGCTGTGGCTGTCTTTAGATCCTTTAGATCCTTTCCAACTGTCTTATGGGTGACACTTGGGGACTTCTCCTGGAGAGTTTGGGATGTGCTGACTTCACCCAAAAGCCAGCTTCTGCACCAGCTGGGTCGGGCTGCCACCCCCCACTCTCCCTTTTACAGTCCTGGGTCGCCCCCAGAGCTTCCAGCAGCGCTACATCCTCAGCCCTTTTCCAGTTCATTTTCAGCTGGGTCTTGCTTAGTGCCCAGGCTGGGCTTCAACGCCCCATCCTCCTGCCTGGGCCTCCCTAGTGCTGGGATCGCAGGTGTGCACCACAGGTACGCTGGTCCAGCCCTCACTTTTCACGCCTGGAGATTCAGCCTGAAGGCGGAGCTTGGCTCCACCCCGCCTGCCCGCCGCTGCCCACCCGCCGCTGCCCGCCGCTGCCCTCTTGGAACATGGCCGCCTGCCCCGCAAGCCTTCTGCTCATGGTCAGTTGATGTTTGCTGTTCACTTGCAAATGACGGAATCAGTGGCTCTAGCCAGCTCGGACACAGGGCCCTCCGTGTATCCCTGGGCACCCAAGGTGCCGAGCCTGCTGTGAGCAGCCTCTCCGCCTGGGGACCCTGCTTCCTCTGGGTGACACAGATGATGTCATGTGTGCCGTTCGCAGCGTCGCTGACCCCACGTGCTAATGTCCTCTGTGCAGAGCTGAAGCTGCGGTTGCCCTGTCTGTCCACACCTGCGCACGCACCCTCTGCTCTGCCGTGTCCCTCCATGGATTTCTCATGGCGGTGATTAGTGCCCACACCAGACTCAGAGAAGCGATGATTTCCCCGTTCTTAGGTCCTGTCGTGAGATGCGGGCCCGATACCAACAGTGTGTTCCTGACTCAGTTCCTATTTTGTGTATCTGGTTATAAATTTTATATAGTGCTTACTCTTGACACAATATAAAGCCATTTAATTGAGCATAGTGTGTGTGTGTGTGTGTGTGTGAGTGTGTGTGTGTGTGATGTGCTTTGCGTACTTTAGTCCTGAGAGCCTTGGGAAACTGCAAACATATAAATATAAATGTACCGGGCTTATTTTTTTGCAAATGATATATACATTCCTCCTATTTATTAAATCACTGGCTTTGGTGTTATGTAGAGATATTTGTAGATTGATTTCAGAACAGAATTAAACTATTGTGAGACTATAGCTTAATAAATAAATGTTTATTGTAATTTTGTCCTCTGGGCTTCTTTTTTGTTTACTTTCTGTGTGTGTCTTTTTGAGATAGGGCCTGGTCCTGCAGGTCAGGCTGGCCTTGAACACATTTTGCAGCCCAGGCTGGTCTGGAACCCACAAGGATCCTCTTGCCTCAGCCTCTGAGTCTGGGATTACAGGCGTGAACCACCATGCCCAGTGCCTGAGCTCTGTTTTTACCCTCATTTTATTTTTTGTTTTGAGACGGGGCCTCACCGAGTTGCCCCACTGTGTCTGCCTGCCTCAGCCTCCTAGAGCGCTGGCATCTCGGGCTGCTCTGCTCCGAACGGGGCTCCCAGGGAGTGCTTGTGGCAGAAGCTCACTGCTGCCTGCGCCACGCTGCTCAGGTGGCTGCGACCTGCCGGGCACGGTCACAGCCTGGACCCGAGTCACAGGTTCGTTAACTGTGGCGGCCATGGAGACTCAGTCCTGTGCTGTCTGTCCCTGGGGGAGCGGGACTGGCAACAAGTGAAGACCTGTGGGCGTGCATTCGCACTGACCTGTCCCGTGTCCTGGGTACAGTGGCTTCCAGACTGTGGCCATGGTCTCCAGGACCCCAGGCAGGCGAGGACGGAGCCCTTCCAGTCCTTGGGCTGCAGGGAGACACAGGTGGGCAGGGCAGCCAGAGGCCTGGCTTGGTGGGCTGAGGGGAGAGGAAAGGAGACCCATGCTTAGAACGGCAGCTTCCGTCCCCTCGGCTCTGCCTGCCTGGCTCTCGCGCTGCCCAGCCGCTCCTAAGAAGGGATAATCCCACAGCACAGTGGCCAGATGCCTCAGGCCTCTCAGTGGTTAGGAAACTCGGCACAAGGGCACAAGGTCAGTCTCTCCGGGGGCAGCTGGGCTTCAGCGTACTCTGTCACGCCCCGCCTGCCCCCCAGCAGGAGAGAAGGCGCCTGGCTTTGGAGGCGCACTTTTCTTTGAGACTTGCTGTGTATTTCAGGCTGGCCTCAAGCAGAGATCCCCCTGCCT